ATAAATCAGGTAAATTAGATAAATTTATAAATTCTATAAATTAAATAAATCAGTTTATCTTTCTAATACAATATACTAATTAAGATCTTTCTTATAATAATCTACATAAAATTAAATCTAATGATTTTTATAAATCATTTTTCTAGAGTATATTTTTAATAATATAAAATAATATTATAAATAATCAATATTTTTAGTTATATATAAAAAAAAGTTTAAAGAAAGTAGAGTAAAATTAGTGAAATATATAAAGAATAATTCAAAACTCTATTTTGAAAAAAATCTGATAAATATTTAAAAATGCATTTATTTGATATTTATATTAAAATTTTTATTATATAGTTTTTTGTATTAAAAATAGAAGATAAGCTAAATTAGCTTGACATAAATTTTGTTATTTAAGTTTTAAATATTTTAAACTTATTTTAACTTAAATTTTAATATTTACTTTAATAGAAAATTTAAATACCTCTCATTTTTTCAATTCTTCTTCTTTATAAAGATTTATATTACTATAAAGATTTGTTTTACCTTTATCATTATTTAATATTAATAATATCAAAATACTATCACAAACTGAAAACCCTCTATATAATTCACTTCAATTATTATATTTTATATTATATTCTCTAATTATTATTATTTCTTTTCTTTTTTAATTTTTTCTTTAATTTTACACTCAATTTTTTTATGATTTTTTTCTGATTTTCTGCTAAAAAAAAAAAATTTTTCTAAATAAAGCTTGTTATTTTTACATGATATTTAGGATTAACTAATCTATATCTTGTTAAAGTAAGCATCTTTAATATTTATAAATTTATTATTATAAGTATATGTAAAAATAAAAAAAATCTATACAATTTTTAATTTTTAATATCATAAAAACTAAAATATTAGTTAATATAATCAACATATATTTAATAAAAAAAAATGTATTAGAAAAAGCTTTGTAATATTATATAAGCTTTTTGATATTTTTTCTTTATACTAAATATTTTACATGAGTATATAATTATAATTGATATTTTTTATTATAAAAATTTTTAGAATAAGGGCAATAGAAATTATAGGTAGAATGTAATTATAAAAAATAGATTTTATATAATAAAAATTTGAGAAATTTAATTAGTATAATAATATAAGATAATGTAACTATAAAAGAGATAATTATAATGAGAATTTACTATGTTATCTAATAAAAAGAGTTTAAAGGATTTCTTTTAATTTTGTAAATTATTTTTAAAGATATCACAACCACAATTTTCTTTTAAAAATCAATTACTTTTGATATTTATTAGAAACATTTTATTTGTTATTTTTGTTAATATTTTTAATATGCACTTATTTTTATATATAATTTTATGTTTATTTTTAAGTTTTTTATTAGAGTTTCTTAGAAATATTATAATAAATTTACATATTTTTTATACAGTAAATTTTTATTTATTGTATTTTTATTATATACCTAATAATACTAATAAAAATTATATTAATATGAATTTTAATATTTAATTTTTTTTAACTCTATACATTTAAAAATTTTAATAAATTATAATTAATTAAACTGATTGTAAAATATTTATAAAACTAAAGTAGACTTAATATTTAAATCTTCACATTTAATTCTTTATAATTAATTAAATTATATTTTTTTTAAAAAATTGATTATTTATTTATTTGCTAACTAATCTATTTATATATAATTTATAAAATAATAAATAATAGTATATATTTTCTTATTCAGTCTATTCAAAATTAATCAACATTTCTTTTTTATCAGATTTCATAACCATTATATTATACATTCTTAAGTTACTAAATACAATATCTTTATTATATAATTGAATTATAATTTGAATATTATTAAATATATTATTATCTGACTTTTCTTAAAGTATATTATTATCAATATATTTTATAATTATCATTTTCTAATTTTTCACATGATTTGCAATAATAAATTTTGATATATAATCTTGATTTACACAAATTTGATATACTTCAAAATTATATTTAAGTAAAAATTTAAAATATAATAAGTTGTGAATCATCTATATCAGTCTATATTTTTGTTAAATAAATATTTACATACTCTAGCGTTCTTTTACTAGTTTGATATATATTATTTTCTGATTTTTATTATTAATTTTCATTGTATTTTAGAAAAAAACTATTGCATAGTAATAGATTTATTAAAATAAAAATTAAAACTTATTAAAATGAAGTAATTTTATCATAATATTCTCTAAAATTATTAAATTTTCTCTCTAAAACCTATAAAAATTATGCAATAAATTTATGTTATAATATCTATAAATAGTATCAAAGAAATATAACCATTGTCTCTAAGGAATGATAATACCATCGTACTTTAGGAACGATAATACCATCATCCCTAAGGAACGATAAAATTATCGTACCTTAGGAATGAAAAATGCATCGTACCTAAGGAATGATAAAATTGTCATTCCTTAGGTACGATAAATGCAAAGGTATTAATAGATCTACTACTAGTTTTTAAGTAAATAACATCAGAAATTATTATTTAAGATCCAGCAATAGATATAATAAAAATCTAGATAATAACATATTTATGCTAAAAATTATCTTTATAAGTTGACTAATAATTAAGCTATAAATATATACAGATTTTTTGAAAAATAAAAAACAAAAACTTATTTATTTATTTATTAATTTTTTTTTATAATTCATAGTTTTTAATTAAAATATTATTTATATGATGCAAAAAAAATTTATTATTTATTGATTATTTTCTAAAATAATTTTCTTAAAATTAATCTAAAATACATAATAAAATAGCAATAAATCATTAGTAAAATAATTATTAAAAGCTTTAGTTCTAACATTTTCATTAGAATAAGTTTTTGATATTTTTTTATATAATTTTAATAAAATATTATAATATTTTTTTGAAACTGGTTTTATATTAATAAAATTAAACAAAGATATTATAAAACTAAATTTAACATACTCTAATGATTAATAATATATTATATTTATTTTTTTTTAATTTCTTTTAAAATAATCATAATAAATAGCTAATGATAATGCATTCACTTTCTTTTTCTTTTAAATCTTATTTTATATTCTAATTAGACTTTTCTTTAAAATAAAGTCAAATACTGATTATTAGAGATAATAAAAAAAATAATATTTAAAAAATATAAAAATAAATATTAAAAATTTGTTTAAATAAGCAAATTATTAAAATACATTATAGAGAATTTTACCTTTTACTTCTCTTCTTTAATTTGTATAAAAATATTTTAATAGAATAATAAATATATCAATAATATCAAAAATAATATTAATAATTGTATAAAAAAAAAAAAAATTTAAAGTTATAAGCAATATATCAAATAAATAAATAAAATAAAACAAATAAAAAATAATTTTATTTATACAATTTATTCATTACCTTTTCTACTGAACTTGTTTAACATTTTTTTACTCATTTTTATTATTCTTTAATTACTTCTTTTCTTTTTTTCAATTTAACTCTCTTCTCTTTTAATTTTCTTTATTTCCTTCTAGAATTTTCCTTTCTTTCTCATTTTTTTTATATTTTATCTGATTTTTTAACTTTTTTAACTTCTTTATTAACTTATTTAATCTATTTCTATTTTCATCCTCTTCACAAATTTTCAAATTTTTCTTTGTCTTCTTTAAGAATGTTAGTAAACTATAAAATTAAATATCATTTAATTATTGTTTAATTTATTTTTTGATTATTATTTTTTATCATTTTTTAAAATTAAAAATTTAAAAAATTAATTTTTAAAAAAATTTTTTTTGTTTATACTTTTATTTTTATTCAATTAATATAAATTTTATATTTGATTAATGAAATTTATTAATTAATCTGAAAGACTATATATATTTTAGTGCTATAGTAACATATATATCTATCTATCCATCTCCTTTTATTATATTTATACTCTAGATTTAATAAGTAATTAGTAGATTGTATGATTTTTTAATAAATTTTTATTAATGAATATTTTTATTTCATACTGAAAAATACTAATATCCTCTTCTAATAATATGCTAAACCTTAATCTTAACTAATCCTAACTATAACTATAATAAATAGATATGTGTAACAAATAAGATTTTGCCACTCAAAAAAAGTCTATTCTCTGAATAAATAATAAAAATAGATGTAATATGATAAATATTTTAATTCACCTAATACAAAGAAATAGTTATTAGGTATCTTTAATATAAAATGAATGTGTAGACCCTTATTTTAAACTGAGATATACAATTAAAATTTGATGAGTTTTATTGACCTAATTTGTTTATATAACATATATCTTTGAATTTTCATAATATTTTCAAAGAAAAATAAAACGAAATACTCAACTTAATACAAATTTTGCAGTATTTAGTGTAGTGTTTTAAAGGAAAAGTGTGAAGAAAAATATTTCTCACAATCTTTTTTTTCATTTTATTATTGAATAAAATATATGATTCATTATTTTGTTAAAAAATGATTATTTATTAAGCAAAAACAACTTATTATATACATAATTTACATTTTATTATATCTTTTACTATTAGAATATAACAGTTATATAAGCTTCTATAACAATAAACTATCTTAACAATACAGTATATTAATATTTATTTCTTCATCACATTTTTCAATAAAAAATATTTCGGCATATTTTATTTTTTTATTTTTAAAAAATTGGCTCAACCACAGAATAAATAAAAAAAAAACCACTTATTTTATACATCAGATCTTATCGTATACCCCGGTTTAGGATAAAGTTCTACACCCGGTATAATATACAATTTTTTTATTAATAATTAACTAATTTTGTTAATTATTAGCAAAAAGTGAATTTAAAAATGTAATCTTTTTTGCTGATCGTCAGGTTAGGATAAATGGATGAATTAAAAATGCAAAATAACCTGTTTTCAAGAAAATATAATACCGAACATTTTTGTTATATATCACTCTTTACAGAAAGATGTCGTATAGTAAAAGTAATTATCGTTCCTTTTAAAATAATTTAACTAATTTATCTTAAACATTATTTTGTCTCTTCATGCTTTTATTATTATTATTGTAGAAAGTATTTTTGCTTGTACTCCAGCTACTTCTCGTGGTCAAGCTGTTCAACTTGGCGTTGACCCAAAAGGAGAGAATTTTCTATACACGAATGGTAAAACTGTTTTCATTAGAAATTTAATTGTAAGTTATAAATCATCATCATGTTTTAAATAATAGATAAATCCATTATTAAATTTATGAAATTAATTTTCCACTTGCATAGAATCCAGCAATTGCAAGAGAATATACTGGACATTCAGCACATACCACTGTTGCACGATATTCTCCCAGTGGTTATTATGTTGCATCTGGAGGTATGCTGAAATTCATAAATGTTACTTTTTTATGATACTATAGATCTTAACATTTTGCTTTCTTAGATATTTATGGAAATGTTCGAATTTGGGATGCAATTCAAGACGAAAATATATTGAAACATGAAGTTAAAGTCATTAATGGTAGGATTAATGATCTTTGTTGGGATTTCGAGAGTAAAAGAATAATTGCGGTCGGTAATGGTAAAGAAAGGTACAGCATATGTATATCTCTTTATATTTTCATATACATAATAAATATTTATTTGATTGTTAATTATATTAGATATGGACATGCATTTTTGTTTGATACCGGATCATCTGCTGGAGAGATCATCGGACACTCTAAAGTGATTAATAGTGTTAGTATTCGACAGAAACGACCTATGCGAGCTGCCACTGCTTCTGATGATTTTACTGTTGTATTCTTTCATGGCCCACCTTTTAAACAAAAATTGACAATAAAAGATCATACGGCATTTGTCCAAGGAGTTGAGTTTTCGCCTGATGGTAGCAACTTCGTAACCGTTGGTTCAGACAAAAAAGTAAGTGATTATTTCCTTTGTATGTATGTTTATTTTATTACTGATATAAATATTATTTAATTAAGGTAATTTTATATGATGGAGATACGGGTGAAAAGCGTATTGATTTTTCTGAAGTTGTTGGAAAAGAGTCTCATAAAGGTGGTATTTTTGCTGTATCATGGTCTCCTGATAGCAAACAATTGCTCACATCATCAGGAGATAAAACAGTAAAAATTTGGGATGTTGAAGCTCAGAAAGTTGTTCGGTAAGTTATTTGAAAGAATTAATTTTTGGATTTGCAAGATATTTAAATTTTATTTTCAACATTAGGACATATGAATTTCCGGATGTTGTTGATAATCAACAAATTGGAAATTTATGGGCTGGAGAATTTCTTGTCAGTCTTTCATTATCCGGAGACATTAATTATTTGGATCCGAATTCTAATTCTACTTCAAGAGTAGTCAAAGTAGACGAATTTATTATAATTATTATTTGTTATTATATACAAAAAATATTCATTTATCTTAATAATTAGGGTCATCAAAAAGCAATCACAGCCTTTACTAAAGACAAGGATGATACATTATTCACTGGGAGCTACGATGGGAAAATTTATATCCTTTTCTTTTTCTTTTTTTTTTATTGATTTTTGTTTAAATTCATCATCACGTTACTTAACTCTTTCAAACATGCTTGGAGTGGAGAAGAGGGCAGTGCTATTTCAATTAGCGGAGAAGGTCATACTAATCAAATTAATCAAATTGCTCCTCTGGATGGTAAATTATTTTCCATTGGTATGGATGATACTCTTCGGTCTATTAATGTTGAAACCAAGACATTCAGGTTAAAATGAACTTTAATGCATTAAATCTTGCTTATATATAAATTATGAGATCTAAAATCTTCGCTAAATATAGTGAACCGATAGTTAAAACCAATGCGATGCCAAAGGGAATTGCCATAAAAGATGACAAAATTATCGTATCTACTACAAAATCCATTGAAATAATTAAGAATAATGAAACCATATTTACACTGGATATTTCATATACTCCTACAGTTATGGGAATTACTACAAATGGTTCTTTAATCGCTGTTGGCACTGATGTAAGATTTTATTTATAGACTTAGTTACTATTACACATCTTAAAAATTTATTATTAAGAAATAATTTATTTTACAGGGATCCAAAATGACAATTTATAAATCGAATGGTGAAAAGCTTGAGGAGGAGAAAGTGATCACTAATAGAAACGCCATATCGGCACTGGCATTTTCGCCAGATGGAACGTTGTTAGCTGTCGGTGATGCGCAAGGAAAGATTAATGTATATGATACTAACAGTTACGAGGTAAATAATAATCATTATTAATTGAAGACCATATATTGTACAATCTTGATATTAATGTTTTAATTATTAGGTCAAGATTTCACAATGGGTGTTCCATACAGCAAAGGTTAATTGTATTGCGTGGTCACCAGATGGGCTTCATGCGGCCAGTGGGTCATTAGACACTTATATTTATGTTTGGAGTATAGAAAAACCAATGAAGAACATTGCTATTAAAGGTGCGCATCAGGTAGCTGTGACAGGCGTAACATTTTTGGATAATGAAACTATATCTTCGGTTGGTCATGACGCATGTGTTAAAACTTGGACCATTAAACATCATCAAGCCTAACCTAAGTTTTGCAAATAATATGAATTTTTGGTTTAATTTATTTATTTATAAATTAGAATTACATAAATATAAATTTGTATGCCTGTAATTTTTTTTTTTAAAAAAAATTTTTGATTCATTTTAGTTTTGCACATGTATATAGACGATCTTTTTCTTTTACGGAAATAAAATATTCTTTTTTTGATGGAAAACGCGAAAACTTCAATTCATGATGTGGCTTTTCTTTTTGCCTAAGCCTTCTATGCATTGACGCGATTTTCAGGTTTTTAAAAATTTTTTTTTAAAAAATAAAAATAAATAACCTTTTCAAATCCTCAGGCCAAAATATTTTTTTAACGCTTTGATGATCACAAAACAAACCATTTTCGAAAACGATAATTTATTCTTCGAGAAAATATAGCTTTATATGTTAAATCTATTTCAAAACATACAAAACATAAGGTAATCAAAATGTGGTTATACATTCATTATCTTTCAAATAGACGGTTCAGCTCAAAATATTGAATTCATATTATAGAAAAATGAAGAGAAAATCACGAGGAACGACAAGGATCATTGAAGCTGATGAAGAAAATAAAATCAAAAGAATTGAGCTGAGCTGCGTTTTTTTGACAGTATTTTTTGTATTTTGCTTAAGGTTTTATTTGATAGCATTAATTTTTTAAAACTTTTGCATGTGAATATAAATCTGTAATCAATTAATTTATTTTTCAATTTTAATAAATTTTACTTACTTCTCTTGATACTACCCAATTTTGCTAAATAAAAAATTATCGCATCGTTTAAAATATCAGTAAAAATTTTCTTTTTCGCGAGAGCTTTGGGCATATCAGGATCGGCTTAGAATTTTTTTTTTTGTCTAAGCCCAAAAATTCTATTTCTTCCATTATGGTGGCATTGAATTAATATGGATTGTTTTGCTTCGCCATATTATAATTTAATGATTATTCGCTTAATAAAGCCACAAAAAGATCGAATTCTCCTAATTTCTTAGATAAAAAGTAACAAGGATGTCAGTTCAGTCAGTAATTTTATATGTTGCGATATTATTTATTACAAATATAAAATATATTTAAAGTTTAAAAATTACATTATTAAAATAAAAGTTATTAAAAATTTGAAATTTATTTTTGATATTATTAGAAATATTTGTTGAATTACTATGACTTGAAGATCTTGAAGATTCCGTTATATTAATTAATGCTTTTCATTTACTTCTTTATATACATGAAACCTTAAACACTTTTGTAACCTGTAACTTCCATTATAGATTTTCTGATACATTGGCATCCTAAAGAATTTGAACAATAGTTTTGACCAAAATGATTTGTTAAAATATCAGGTGAAAAATTTAATTTTAACAGATTTTTCAATGTCTTCATAAAGTTTTCTACTTTATTAATACTACAATACATTTTTATATTAGATACTATTTTTATATTAAAGTGATTTAATTTATAATAACAATTTTCAGAAGTATTATTAAAGTATTTTGAAAAATATTTATTAATATCAGTAATTGCTTCTGAATCTGAGAGTTAAATATTTTGTATAATATCACTTTTAATTTTATTTTTGCTATGTTAATGGTAAAAAAATCAAATTATTATTAGAAAATTAATCATCATAAAGATTATAATATTTTTTACTTTAATAATGCAAATTAGTTGTATTTCAAAAAATACATAATATAAAAACTTTTAGAAGTATTTGGATTAAGAAATACTTTAGTAAAAAATTTTAAACTTATTGTATTATTAATACCATTGATTTGTCTTTTTCATTAAATACTTTTTCTTATGAATATTTTATTTTTTTATTAATACTAATCAAAAATCTATTTATTATATAATTTAATTTAATAATTAGTACAGTTTACTCTTAATATAGTGAAGTAGCTGTTCTGCATCTCAAATTTTGTTATAGCAAATTAGTAAAGAATTTGATTGGTTACTTCATTATAGAGAGGAAAAATTGATATATTTAATTAATCAAACATCACATAATTCATTATATCAAAATTCGTTATATCAAGGTAGACTATAATTATTTAATAAATGATAATTAATAATATTATAAATAAATTTACTAAAAAAAAAATGATATAGTCACCTTACAGATTTATAAATTAGACTTTTTATAAATGTTAATTTTATCATTATATAGATTTTTTATAGTAAAAATTACCAAAAAATATTTTTTTACTTTATAAGTTAAATATATTTATTTTTAATAAAATAAATTCAGATTTAATATTAACTTAAAAAATTTTTTAGTAATTTCCTTTCTTCTATTGCAAAGTACCTATATGTATTTTATTTTATATTAATATGTTATTCTAAAAAAAATATATAAAATTCAAACTTTTTATTTTTTACTTCTAATTTAGAATTTTTTAGTAATTAAACTAAAGTATTAGCCTGAATCTCTTTTAGTTTTTCTTAAATTCTTATTTCATTTATTTTTCTTTTTTTTAAATTATTTTATTATTTATTATATTAATAAATCTTTATTATTATTAAACTTTAAGTATTACACTCATACACTCTGTTAAATTACTAAAGATTGAATTTATCATAAACATTTTGTTATACAATCAAAAAAAAATAACTATTCATATATCACATATATTACTGTAATTTTTAAAAATCACAAATTAATAATATCAATAATTTATTTATCTTTTTAATTTATATTTATAAAATTTTTTTTTAAACATTTGTATAATATTTTCATAAATTTATTATTTTATTAATTTGAAATCTATAATATTTCAAATAATTATATTTTTATAAAATTCTTTAGTTAGATAACCTAATTATAAAATTAATTTTTAGTATTTTAAAACATAACTTTATTTTGATAAAAATTAAGTTTTTTTTTGAATTTTAAAAACTAATAATTTTAAATATTAAAGAATTTTTTGAAGTTTAAATAACTTTATTTTTTTTATTAATATATTATTAAGATATTTTTAACTTTTTAATTATTATATAAACTTAAAAAAATAGCAATTTTATAATAAAATAAATATAGTTTTATCTACTTTTAATAGTAAATATATAGTGAATAATAGCTAAATAAAATTTTTTTATTAAAATATTAGTTTTTAAAATTATTTTATAAAAATTTTCTATAAATATGATTAATTTATAACTATATTATGAAAATTATTAATTTTAGTAAAATAATTATTACTTTTAAAATAATATATTAATAAAAAATAAATTAATTAAAAAATTATTATTTTAAAAATAAATAAAATATTTTTATTTTTTAATATTATTTTTTCTTTTTTATATTATCTAATTTTTCATATAAATAATAATTAAGTTTGTTTATTTTAACTTATTTTAAATTTTACAAAATATTTAAAATCATTAATTTTAATAAATTTTTTATTAAAGTTTTAATCATTTATATAAGTAATAAAGTTTTAAATTTTATAGATTTTTTAATAAGAGTTTAATATAATTTTGCTAAATTTACCTTTTATTAATTAGATAATCTATAATAATAATTTTTGTTATTTTAGAATTTAATCTATTTTTAATTTTAAAATATTAAATTTAAAATAATAAAATATTTTAAAATTACTTATATAATTATTTGATAAATTAAAATTTTGTATTATTATCTATATAATAATATTTGATAATATAGATAATTTTAAAGTTTGAATAATTTAAATTAATTCAAAAATTTTTCATTTTAAATTGACTTCAATTTATTTTTATATTGTATAAAAATCAATTTGAAAATTTTCAGATTAAATCAGATTTTTTTTAGATTATAATTCTAATTCAATTAAAAAATACAATTTAATTCAAAAATTTTAATTAGTTCATTTTAATTAAATAATAATAAAATTGTTTTTATTCTAATTAAATAATAAAAATATTAATATTATTTTAATTGAACAATAAAGATCTAATTGAATTAAATTTTCAGATTAATTTGAAATTTTTAATTTAGATTAGGATCTTATAATTTATGATTCAGTTTAAATTTAAATTAATATTTTTAAGATTTATAATGTAAATTGGACTGAATTAAAATTGAAATTTAAATTTAAATTAGTTTATAATTTCACTGAATTGAACTATTTAAATATTAGATGCTTTATAGTAAAAAATGAGAAAATTTCAAAAAAAAAATTTTTAAAGATAAATTTAAATCTGAACTTATTTATTAAAAAATTATATTTAACTTATAAAAGTAAAAAAAAATTTTTAATAATTATCTTTCTTTTTATTATAAAATACCTATATTATTTGAATAAAAGTAAATAAGATATATAATTTTTGATAAGTTATTCTTAAATAATATGATTATATAATATAAATATATTATTATATTTAATATTATATCACTTGAAAAGATCATGAATTTTACTTATAGATAATTATAACTAATTCTTATAAATTATAACAAATATTCTAATAATAATATAAATTTTTATTTATTTTGAATATGAAAATTTTTTTTGAAAGTTAGTGTTAATTAAGGATTATCTAAATTTACTATAAAAACTCATTTATTTTAATAAAGGATCAAATAAAAGTTTTTTTAAAATAACAATCACGTGATAAATATTTGCTATAAAAATAAATTCTGAAAATTTTGAATATTTATCTAAAATTTTATGCTTCTAATACAAAACCTCGAATTTTATTCCATCGAAAATATTTCGGACGGGATATCCTTACATTCATTTCATCAACTTCAGCTACAAATCAATACTAATATAAGTTGAATTATTACTTGAAAGTTTTTCTTAATAATCAAATAATTGATTGAAATTTCTTTCTTTTTTTTTAAAAATATAAAAATATATTAAGTCTCTTTATGTTGTTTGAGAGCATCACCTGTAAATAATTAATAAGTTTTTTTTTTGATCACATTAAATATGGTAAATGATCGTGATTGTCAATAAAATAATCGTTCGGCAAGATGATAAAATAATGATTGTAAAATGTTTATTACTTACTAATAGCATCATTTAAATATTCTACAAAATAAATTAATTTATAAATATTAAAAATCAGATTTACCTTGAAAATTTTCACCTTTAATCAATATTAGAATAATTACCAATATCTTGATTTCCTGTCTCACACCAGTCATCATCTTCATCATTTAGTATGTCATTCAATTTTTTAGTAAATTCAAGTAAACGACTCGTACGATACGCTCGTGGATGAGATTTGATAGGTTCAGATGTAAACGAAATATTAGTTTGATTTTGTTTTAAAACTTTGTCTTGTGTCCGAAATTCTATCACATCGTTTATGAATTTTTCATCAACATCATTATTATAAAGACCATCAATCCAACTCCCAATAACATCCTTAATTTCTAATGTGACTGGCCTTTTTAACGGATCATCATCCCAGCATCTTTTCATCAAATCTATATAACCTTGTGGAATGTTTTCAATAATTTTAGGACGTTCGCCCTTACAAATACTTAAACCGAGATATAAATCGTGTGATCTTTCATTAAATGGAGGAATTCCGGAAATCAATTCCCACATAATCATGGAAAAACTATATATATCACTAGCGGGAGTATAAGGGTTACCTTTTAAAACTTCAGGCGCTACAAAAGGCAAAACGCCATAAATATGACTGATTTGAGTTGAAGATCGAAATTCCCCCATAGGTTTACATAACCCCAAATCACAAATATCAGGGTTTAAAATGTTGCCATCATGAAAATCACGATGAACGAAATTTAATTGATGTATTGTAGCAAGTCCACTAATGATACGATTCAAAAAATCCATTTTATGACACCAATCCTCCTTAACTATTTTGGGTAAATATTTTCTTAAACTGCCTCTTTCTTCATATGTCATTGCTATCATATAATTTAAGGTACCTGGATCTCGAGTAAAACCGTATAATTGAACTAGATTATGCGTTAATTGACTACATTTATAATGATACTTCCACTATAAAAGAATAAATAAAGGTTTAAAATTTTTGAATCGAATATTCATTATAAAGATTAATTAATATTCAAACCTCATTTAAAAATTCCTCATTTAAATTTGACGAATCATTGATACATTTAAGAGCTACGGGCCATTCGTACTTATGTCTAACCCATTGCCTTTTATCACAAGACCATGTCTTAATGTGTCCATCCAACCAATTCGCCTTATATACAATACTAAATCCCCCTTGATCAAGATATTCAATATTATCAAACCTATCATATGGAATCCATTCTAAAACTAGGCTTTCTCTAAAAGCATTCAATTGAGATTCCTGAATGAATTTGTCGATGAATTCATTTCCACTGGTCCAATTAGGAAACTCCTGTCGAAACCGTTTCGCATTGCATTCTTTGCACCATCTGGCCGTTTCGTAAGGTTCATTACATTCGGGACATTGAGGTTCTTTAAAATTATCATTCTTCTCTGCGCTTTCATATAGATAATAAAGAATAGTTTTCGAAGAATGAAAATTATGGATTAAAAATTTACAAGATGAATGAACAACATACTTTTATTAAAGATTTTAAATAATTTCCTAAACATTTTTTTTAAAAAAAAAGATTAGAAAATGGCAAAATCCAGGTAAGCATTTATTGTAAATCTCTAAATAGTAAGATTTTCCTCATTTTATAAATTTAATACTAAAAAATTTGATCCTTCAAAAAATAAAACTCAATTTCATGATTCTATTCTTCAAAACAATAAAGCTACGGTGGTTTAAAACGCTCCACATGTTAATTTATTGATATTCATTAGTAAAAAGAGAAACTTGAAACAACTGGATTTTTTGTTAAATAATAATGATGATTTTCCTTTAAATGTGATCATTCCAAATTTAATTATGAACTAATTAAAGCCAAGACATTTACATTCAAAATTCCCACCAGTCCATTTTTAAATCTTTTGTTGAACCTGTTTAGGGATTGTTACCGATAATCCTTGAAAACGTAATTTACAATTCCATAATAATAAAACATATTTTCTTATCCTACTTAAAACGGTTTAATTTCGGGCAATAACCTAAATTAGTTTCGGTTTTGCTACGCCCTTTTATACTCTTATAAAAAATTTTCAGGAAATTTAAAGTTACCTTATTATTGTTTATATAATAATATTTGACAAATATTATTTCGATTCATGTATTTCCCCGATGCATAAGATGTGTGAATAAATTTATTGAACGATTTAAGTAATATTCATATTCCTAAATATAGAAAGCATTGTAATTTTATTAAAATTTGTACATATGAGGTAATCAATAAAATAGCCGAATCTCCTGCGAAGTTCCAAGGGATTCCATGGAACCGTGGCGTATTCCTAATCTCTAGGATTGAAATACGCCATGATCTTGACAAATGCATACTAGCGTTTGAAATATAAAGTAAAATAAATAATATATAAATAAAATATTTGAACATATAAATAATATATAAATAATTTATAATAAAAATATTTAAATAATATATAAATGAAACACAAAACATGATGTTGGGTATAAATAAGAACGTCGGATTTTTTTTTTTGTAGAGAGTCATCATTAGCAGATCCCAAGGACATTTTTTTTCACATTCCTTTATTGTTTTGAAATTACAATCAAAAAAAGTATGTTTTCACAAGAGAAGAAGAATTTAGAAATTATCCCATTCCTACAAACCAAGCACACCCTTTCTGTAATCTTTAAAACTCTTTTCATCTGTATTGTCATTTGGAACGTTAGCAATTATTTGTTTTATATAAAGGAACAGAATGGTACCGTAGAAAATATTGGAGGGTATGAACCCACACACACATCAGACGTAAGTTAAAAGATCTTTTATTTATTTATTTACCCCAAAAAATTAACAAAATTGTTTTCTTTTTTTTTTTAAATAGACGACACTCATTAATAACACCGAAGCCGATGATGTAAAAATAGCACATGACATCGAGATAAATAAAAAGTACTGCGGATCGGCCGAATGCAAATTCTTATTTGCACATTATATAACGGAGCAAGAGTCACAAGCAAATTCACATTTCTATTCGTTCATACAATTGGCGGAAATGCTTAACCGTACAATCGTATTGGTAAATGTACAAAATTCGAGATTGGGATCCTGTCAGAACCTTCCGTTTAGTTTCTATTATAACGTGGAGGCGATCAAGGCATTGTTTCCAAGGGTTAATTTTATCACGCAACAGGATTTTCAAAGTTGGACCAAACAACTTTATCGTAAGCCAAACACCGTTTTCAGGTATATTGAACAAGATGGTATACCGAATACGACAAGAACGATAACGATAGATTTGGATGTCCTCTTAAAGGATGAATGCCTTGAACAATTCGACCTTAAATTTAAAGATGATGATTCCATCTTCAAGATGCTTTATATAGGGTTAAAAAATTATTGGAGTACGCCGATGAGTAACCTTGTCATCATAGATTATCTAACCAAACACCTAGATCTTAACGAACCAGTCCTATTAATCAGACACGAACTTAGGTATCCCCTATTCCCTTCCAAGGGACCCATCGTACCATTGCCATATGCCAACCACTTGGTGGAAGCGGCGAATAAGGTAAAGGACCGATTAGGGGAATATATAGGGATTCACTGGAGAATGGAATCCGCCAAACCGGAATTGATGCCTGCTTGCGCAAAAGGGTTGATTAAATATATCAAAAAGATGAAAGTCACGAGTAATATTGAGAACGTATTTTTTGCCACGGATTATCCTTTAACCAATGTGGGGGAAAATAAAACGCAATCAAATACATTCCTAAACATAAACAATAATCATCATTTGGCGATGAAACAGTTACGTACGGCTTTCAAGTTAAACACTTGGGTATCAACGAGATCTTTAGATTATCTTTATGAAGCGTTTCCCGAGTACAGAAAAGAAATCGATCAAGAATTTGATGAATCTGGAATTCAAGGAATTCTTGACAAGTTGGTTTTAATAGGAGGGGATTATTTTATAAGTGGACCACGTCAATGTGCTAGGATACTGAGTAATTTTACAAAAAGGATTAGAGAAGAAAGGCAGAGATTAATAGATGATGGTGATAAGACGATCCGTAACGATATTTCACGATGGACACTAAAATAAAGAATTTCTATTCTTTTTTTTTTTTTTTTTAGCCAAAATAAATGGAGATTAATAGACTTAATTATCATGTAATAGCTAATTAGTATTGTTTACTTAATAAACCTGTACAGAACATTTTTTCATCGAATGAATAATCTTTCGCTATTGAGTGCGCAATGATATAATTATTTGTCTCGGTAATTGAACTCCAGGCTTGACTATTAAGAAACAAGTGTAGAGTTCTTGATTTAGTAATAATTTACGTTAAATAGCATCCTACTTTTGCATTGTATATGGACCTTTGCCAAACATGTTTCGAATTTATTTTTAGTTCAAGACAATGCGTAAGATTAAATTTGCACAAGTTCGTTAGATTCCGAGCTTTGGAATCTAAATTTACATTTACATGCTACACGAACTTCACATTACTCGAAACATGTGGGTTTTTGGGCATTGATAAAGTTTCAATTTGTCACATTTTCTCGACCAATTTGCTAGCGCAATCTACATTTCTATATTTTTAAACAATATCAACCGAAACTATTTAAGAACTAGTTTCGAATAAGCAAACCTAATATTTGATATTAGCCAACCATAAATGAAAAAAAAAAAAATGACAAAAAAATATTGGCCAAATATAGAAATTCTAAAATTAGAAAACGTGAGAAAGATGGGTTTTTTTTATCATTTTATCCAAATATCTTTAATAGGATCAATATTTTCAACCTTTAACCCGTCACCATTTTCCTATAATAAGTTTCTTCCCTAAGGATATTCTTCAATATTCTTCTTTGATAGGAATAACGACATTAATTTTATTAATAAAGGCATTATTATAACCGCAACCTTTTTTTTTTTTTCTTTTTCTTTTTTTAACTACGGCAAGTTTCATTGTTCTTTACATTTAGCTGAAACAAACATGTTTGTGATCGGAAACTGTAGATCTAGTGAAGTTCTACCTATAAAGTGAGATCACATTTCTTTTGTAGTGAAGCAAAAAGGAGTTAAATCGATCGTAAAATCAAAGATTGATTTAACTAACCCTTTCGACGAGGGAGGGAATAAACAATATTATTAATTTGGTTAATAAATCATATAAACAATTCCACTTTCTTGGTTAATCCATGCAATGTGAGCATGCTTGCTTACATTAATAAATAGGGAAATTCCCATATTTGGGTTATAGGTATATTAAACAAATAATTTATTGACTCCTTTTACTATTTGTCAGTACTTTGGCCATTAAAACGTCAAGCTTATAGTATTACTTTTTCCGGGGTAATCAATCTAAACAATCATAACCGTTTCGAATGAAAAATTCAATATTGTCTTCATTTGTTTAGATGTGAAGGTGCTTACATTCGATCATCTATGCACCTACCTACATGTAACAAGAAAAAGTATTTATAAACATGTTCACGTCGTAATTTTTTTTTTTTTTTCTCCTCAGTAAATTCACTAGATAAAAATTTAATCTTTCTTTTTTTTTTTTTTTTCTATTTGTAAAGAAAAGATAAAATTCATCCCTGTCGCAACGCGCAGAAAAAAAATTTTTTAAAAAAAAAAAGAAATTCGTCTGCCCCTAAAACCATTTTTTTTTTTTTTTAAAAAAAAAAAAGAAAAAAAAATATGCTTACAAAGTACATTCTATTCATCTCACTCCTATCGTTAATCTTCGTTAAACTTCCTTCCGCGCGTTCACAATGTGTAGATCTCAATCTATTCGATCACACTCAAAGGCATGGTAAACTTTGTCCTCAAATTGAAGATTCACTAAAGAAGGGCAGCTCAAGCCTATTAAATCCGATAGATGCGCCACTTGAACAAATTGAGAATAATAACATGATACAAATATTATTTACATGCGATGAAAAGAATAAACCCGAATTATGTAAAAAAGCGAAATTAGCATTTCAAAACGTGGCAAACGTAATTTCGGATACATTAGATTTCAAAGTTCCAATAATAATTAACGCCAGCTTTACCCAAATATGTGGTAATTTCATGAATTGTGATCCGACCAAACCGGGACCACTTGGAGCTGCGGGACCGTCTAGGCTTATCCCTTTAAAGGATGATGATGGAAAGACGAGATTATACCCACAATCATTAGTGAAACAATTTAAATTAGAGAAACATCCCGAATTCTCGGAGGTTGACATTCAAGCTGGGTTTAATTCTGAAATCTCAACTTTTTGGTTTAGAGGTGATCCCGAAATTGGCGTTGATCAGGTAGATTTTGAATTGGTCTTGATACATGAATTCTTGCATGGTTTGGGATTCCTTTCTTCTTGGGATGATTACTTGAGTTTGGATAATCCAACCGCTCTTACCCCTTTCCCATCATTCTTAATTACCACCGATGATCTCTCATCAAATATTGGACCAATCAAATTTACCGGATTTCAAGAATATCCCTTTGATAGATATTTATCATTAACCAAAGATAATATTCCCCTCTCATCTATTACTGACAAAATAAATCAATTTGCTAATTCCACGACCACGTTTGCAAATGAAAAAGAATTTACTGATGCCTTCACAAATTCCAGTCAATATCTAGAATGTAAGCAAATGCTTCAAAACAGTATCACGAGAAATTCTATCGTATTCAAGTTACCCGATGATGATTTATATCCAATCGAAACCTCTTTGGTTCCCTATAAATCAGGTTCTACCCTAAAACATGGAGATTATGATAGTTTTAGCAACTCTACCGATTTCTTAATGAGATGGAAATCCCCACGTCAAGTCACCATGGAGAATCTGCTGTCTGTCAATGGTAACGATACCAATTATATCAATCCCATCGGTCCAAAAACTCTCAAGGTTTTAGAGGTTTTAGGGTATGTGTTTATGAAATTCTCCTTTAGTTTTTTTTATTTACTCGAGTACAATTAATTAAAATTTTTTTCACGCTCCCTGAATTCAGATATACAATCAAAAATAATAATAATAAGGTGCAAACGGACAATGAAGTAAAACAAGATGATAATCAGCATAATCTTCAATCCACTTCTGGAACAGAAAGTACAACAATTCATTCAAGCACATTGTTACATGTATTATTAATGACTATAACTATCTTATTATTCTAAAAAAAAAACAACAACAAAAGAACAATCCTTGGGGGGTGGGGGTCGGATTTGAACAATTTAAAAAATTATGTAGAAAAAAAAAATTTAATAATGTGAATTTATTTTTAATATTTTCTCTCTTGTAATTAATTAATACTAATTTCTTTATATCCTTTTTGTATTTGTAAAAAGAAAAGAAAAAAAAAAAATTTAAATTTAAGATATGCTTGTTACAGATAAAGTTTTTAAGTCGAAGAAACAAAACCCCCTTTATACGCCAAATTTAGAAACATTTTTAAATAAAATAAACAAAATAAACAACTTGGCTTTATCTTACTTATTTTTCGAAGAATGTCTCCTATTTAGGTTTAAGTCTATATATAATTATGTCAGAATGTATAATTATTTGATATATATTCAATTTCTCCATTTGGCAATTTGGCAAAAAACCACTAAATAATTAATTTTTTTTTTTTATGCATATAAAATGTAACGCTTGTAACATAACACATGTGGTAAATTCACGTTATGGGATCAGAAGGTCAAGAACGTAATCTTTGCATCTAGTTTAATTAATCGAGGACGAGCACGCTCCAAACAATTGGATGTTTCCTGTTTGGGATGACTGATGTCATAATGGCTAAATCACTAAATAACTTCATTATAACCACACCACACAACCCACTCCCCACCAAAAAAAAAAAAAAATGAAATTTCTTAAATTTATTAAAAAGAAGAATTTATTAATTCTTGTAACGATTGTAATATTTTATATCATTTATACCATAAGCATTCGTTTATCCTTTGAAAGTAATGGAATCGAAATTCAAAGGGATTTCCAATCGAATAATAATGGTGATCCCGATGAGAAATTCATTACGTACCTACCACATAGCGGATTTAATAATCAAAGAATTTCTATGGAGAATGCATTATTCATGGCATACTTTTTAAATAGAAGCTTAATATTACCTCCAATCGTATTCCTTGACGGTCTAAATCACCTCTATTCCGAGAAAACCGATAAACTTTACTCAAAATTGATTCAATTGAATCATGATTCCAACAATTTTACGAGTTGCAAGGATAAACGATGCAAACAAGTTAAATTTACCTTATATCCTTGGGATGAATTAATTGACATGAGTTGGATACGAGAACGTATTAAAATAACCTACAGAAGTGATTTTAATTTAACCTCCCTTTTAACTTCCTTGAATATTACCAATGAACAGGAATTCTTATTCTTGAAAGATGAATTTAGTTATCATTATAAATTTTATGATGATTCGAATTCAACTACTTCATTAGATAAATTTCATGTGAGAATCAACCTTTCGGATTTAAAAAAAGATCATCATAATAAAAGATTAATTCACTTTGGTAGTTTGTTCTCTTCAAGTAGAATTGTTAAGGAATTACCGGAGAGCAGAATATTTTGGAAGAATTTAACACGAGAACTCGTTCCAAATAATCAAATCTTGGTTGAAATCACTCGGGATATTATAAATGAGTTGGGAGGTCAAGGAAATTTTATTGGTTCTCACATTAGATTGGGTGATTCATTCTTTCAAGTTAACGGAAACAAAACCTTGGATAAGATAACGCAAAGGATTATAAACGATTACATCAAAAATTCCGTACCAAATCATCCAAATGATAAATTATTTACTTTATGTAAAGATGATTTGTCCAAACCAAACACGGTACCTTTAGTAATATTCTTGGCAACCGATAAAGACCGATCAGATCCTAGAATACGATCATTTCTCGAAATATTTCCTTGCACGTTTACGCAATCTGATTTTATCTATTCACTTGAACCCTTGAAAAGGGTAATCAATCCATTAGGTAATATGAATATGCAAAAATTTTTCGCGCCATTTGTGGATTTATTGGTTGTCTCGCATGGAGTTAAATTTTATGGGACCGAAAAAAGTACTTTTTCATCATACGCTCAAAGATTACACGATATACATCAAGAGGATAACTTTGTAGATTTTATTTCCTAAAATATAAAAATATATAATGATTATATCAATCGTTCTTATTATTATAATCATTAATCATTATTATTTACGATGTAAGGGATGTATCTTACAATTTTATAAATTTCTTTCGCGATATTATCTTTCTTTAATTATTATAGCTTTCACAATGACAGATATTATGTAATATTATTTAAATATTATTAAAAACGGAAATAAAAAAAAAAAACTTTTCGACGCTGTATTCTCTACCTACCGATAAATAAGCAGCATATTTTTAAACAAACAGAATTCTAACAATTATTTTTTAGTTGTAAAGAAAGGTTCATTTTGTTTTTCTAAACAAATTTTTTGTCTTAAAGTTAATAAATATTCTACGATTATCCAAAATTGACGACGATCCTTTTTTTTTTTTTTTTTAATGTGAAGGATCACGGAAATTGATTAACGCAACTCCTAATTTTAATTTTGAAAATCGAACATATATTAGTAAACATTTGAACTGTAAAAATTTTTTATGCGTTGATGAAGAAGCATCAAATCATTTATAAATGATCCGTTTACGTAAACTTGTTCGTAGTATGCGACGTTTTGGTCGGGTAAAAGTATCAGTGATGCTTCTTGGAATTGAAACAACATCGTATCAATTTAATATTTTTACATATTGAAATGATCGGATTACAAAATTCCCGACAAATTTGTTATCATAGACCTTTAGAACCTTGTACAATCGCTTTATTAGGAAATCACAGTTTTTCGTGAACATTATTTTTTTATTATATATGCATAACCTAATTGAGATTTTCATAAAATCGAAATACCCATCACAAATCATCTATGAAATAAGTGAGAAATTAATTAAATTTTTAATTACTAAAGTAATAAAAGTAATAATAGGTCACTAATAAAAATCGTAATAGTAAAAATTATATTATTTAGATTAATGAAATAATGAATAAGGACAAAATACATAAAAGTCCAATTCCCCAAACTGTACTTCTGACCATTGGATAATCAAACCAATACATAGGAAAATAAATCTATTGAATCGCAACCGAACGTAGGGAAAAATTAATTAATTAGCACTTGATTCATTTAATTCGAATGATAATAATATAAAATCCAAATCATAATAATCCAAATTACTTACCACTCGTGAAACGATATAAACAACACATAAAATGTTAGCGGTCATTTCAATGTTATTATATTTATTACCAAAAGGATTCAAACTTAACATATGAGAAAATGCGTACATAAATACTGCTATAGAGAAGAAAACAAGTCCTTCGAATGTATTATTTGCTGCTCCAACTGCCCTTTTCCCCCAATCAGGCTATAGATGTACAAGAAAAGAAATTTAATATATCATTTAAACTAGTTTAGAAATCTCATTATATTTACCAGTCTATTGTATTGATCTCTTGGATTAGAATTATCATAGCCGCCTTCTTGTAATGCTTGAGCTCTTCGTACTGGTACTAATGCAACGAAATAAAATAAAAAATTGATAAACACACAAACGAATGGAGTTCCAACTCCTGAAGAAAATTCCATCTTTTCTCAAAGGAATATATTATTAATTTTTTTTTTTTTTTTATTTTTATTTTTTATTTTTTGATCAAAAGAAAAATGAAATCGTTTTCTGCTATTAAAGGCGTTTTTATCCTTTTATATACATATGATGCATATTAATTTGGGTTTAAACCTTGACCATAAACAGTATGATCAACATCCACTTTAAATGATAAATTGGGATTACCAGATATTGACAACACGGGATGTGTATTGGTTTACTCAAAATAGTGATACATTTCCAAATTCCGAGACATTTTTTATTTATTTTTATTTTTTTTATTAATTTTAAACATTTCTTCTGACTTGAAGACATCTTTATCTGACTGATAGTTGTTGTATCAATTCCTTTCATATCTATAATACGTCGTTTCTTTAAACAATCAATTAAAATTATGTACAGATCGCTGATTACCGTAATTTTTTAAATATTTCATGCGGACGAGGTTTGTGAAAGAAAAGAATTCTTTGGTTCATACTTAAACCTAGAAATTATTGCAAATGGACTTCTGAATTCCCTTTTTTTATAATAATGCAACCGTTTTAGGAAAGGAACTTCCTCTATTCCATAATCAAATACGTAGGCGTAAAATAGGTAACTTGTTCAGTCAAATGTAACGTAACACGGCTATCGAAAATCGTGATAGCCATTTTTTTTTTTAAAAAAAAAAAGTCATTATTGCGTATCCATTTGTAACTCTGTTTTTAATAATGTCTCTCTATTTACCAGCAGAATTATTAAACAAGATTTTCTGTTTTGTTGATGAAAATGATGTAAAAACAATTTATTCTTGTATATTAGTAAATAGAGTTTGGTGTAGAACCATGATTCCGCACTTATGGAAGCGCCCTTTTCGCCTTGCAATCAAAAAACAATCAGAAAAACTTGTACCCGCGTACTTTTCCTTCTTCTCCAAAGAAACGAAAAGTATTTTGCAATTTTATACGCCTACTTCCTCCTTTGATGCGACGCCAACCTTTGATTACCCAATATTCCTAAGAGAATTGGATTACAGCGAAGTTTATTTGGCGATAAGAAGATGGTGTTATATACGTAATATAACAAATAAATCAACAGGATTTGAAGTTTTTAAACAACGAGGACGTCAAATTCTTTTCATACTTCAAGAGTTAAGTAAATTATTCATGTTAAAGTGTAATAAATTGGATTATTTATCTTTGGACATTAATGCAATTAGGTGTGATACTTATGGAAGATTAGCAGAGTGTATGATGACCCTGGCTAATTTTCCGGGTGCTTCACATTGTCTTGTTCCATTAAAAAAATTTGTTTCAAGAGGAATATATGATAAGGATATTATATTTAAATCTTTGATTCAATATTGTAGAAACATTGATGAAATGATCATTGAAGATAGTGATGCTACTGAAGGGGACTCTCTCGTAGATTTAATTACCTCCCAAAGGAAATTATGTAAATTCACAATTGGAAATTGGTGGGGTTGTTTATTAAAGATATTAAAATCTTTGGGAGATCAACGTAATAGTTTGACTTACATTGAAATTTATGGATGCCATTTTCGTAGTGACTTTGTTAATGATATAATCTTTGATGGAGTGATCTGTTGTAAAAATTTAGAAACTTTAAAGATCGAAGAATGTTATAACTTAACGAGCAATATAATGAAACCATTAGCAACTACGATATTCCCGAAATTACACACCCTTTATTTCTCCAATTATTTATTAATGGAAGATATAGAAGATTTTAATGACCAAGGGATGATCCCAAATAATGATCAAGATCGGGATCACCCCCATTTAGAACTCATAGCTATTATTCAAAATGCGAATTTAACTTTAAGGGATGTAAGATTGAATATGGATTTATTGGATTATCCTGATATAATTACTATTTGCGCTACAAATTGTCCAAATATTACTCATTATAAAGCAAGGATTCAAAATCATTCGGAAATGTATCAATTACTGCAACTCTTAAAATCTTGTACTCGATTAGAAAAATTGGAGATAACAGCAGAGAAATGGGAGTGTTCTGATCTTGGATTGCCATGGGAAATTGATTTGTTTTTTCCGGAATTAGGAAAGTCATTACCAAAAACTTTAAAATGTTTGGACATCGATGGATGGAGTTGTACTCCATTAGGTTTAAGTAATTTTTTAAAGAATTGCAATGTTGATATTAAAAGAATGAGTTGGATGTGTTATATTAGTAGTGCTGGTTATTTGGAGGTCATAGAGAAATATGCGAAATTAAAAGGCAGAACGATCAATAGACATAAAGAAAAGAAAAAATGGGGTCTGAACTTTACTTTGACCGTAGATTTCGATTAGAAAATTGTACGAGGCACGTGTGCAAATGTAAATTTTACGTTATAAACTTTTAAACAAAAACAATTATATTTAAAATGTAATAATATATTTGGTAATCGCTTGTAATTTTTGCGATATCATTGTCATAAGAAAATTTTAATACTGTAAGCGAGAAGCTGGTTAAAAAAAAAAAAATTTTTTTTTAATATGAATCTATAAAATAATTAGGGAATGATCGACATACATTGCAAACTAATATCTTTGACAAATCTGATAAATTGCTAAAAAAAAAAAGTAATTATAGAAAATATAATGAGTGAGTTTATGTGATGTTAGGTATAAATCGAAATTCTCTAGTTTTTTAAATAAAAAATTATTTTAAAAGTATCAATTAATTTTTAATAATTTTTATTTATGATAAATAAATAAAATTTTATATAATTGAATTTTTTATTTAATTATTATAATATTTTATTTAAAAAATTATTATAGCATAAATTTCAATTTTTAATAATAATGATAAACACAAATTTTTTTGAATAAAATAACTAAAAAAAGAAACTAGATTAAATAAGTTAAAAAGTGATTAATATTAAGTAATAATTAGCTAAATGCTTAAGATTAGTATGATTTTTAAAAAAAAAGTTAAAAATATTTATTTATAAAAAAAAAATAAATTTTAATTTATAATATTAATTAAAAATATAATTTACTAATTGATTAATATTATTATTATAAAAATTATTAAAAAAAAAATATTAATTTTTTAAAAAATTAAAAATTATAATTGTAAACTTTTTAAATAACACCTACTAGAATGAAAATCAGATACTTTACTTGCAAAAGAAGAGGATATATGACCAAAAATTATAATATAATGCCTAACAGACCCTATTCACACTGCCATTAGTTCAAAAATTAGGGAAATTTATGCTCAACTGACTAGCACTAACTTTTAATAATAGACAACTACAATTTAGTCTAACAGGTCAACGAGTTGCATTATCACAAGGAAGTTTCATGTATTATACTCCAAATTTGTCTTAATTACCTCTTTCTTCACAATCTTTCATAACATTTTTTTTTGCTAATACCTCTATGACTAATAGTACCTTCTTTTTCAATCTATCTAATCAGTTTTTAAACTATTAAGGGTACCTTCAGAGGGTGAAAGTATCAGTCATTATTTAAATCCCTCAAATAAAATTGATACACCTAAAACTGTAGAAGCTGTTTACTGTTACGCATTCATGGATGGCAAACCTATTTATTTGATTTTAGATTCAGAATATATTAGAAGTGTTATATCAAAAAGTTTCTTGCAATAATTAGATAGAAAAATTGAAGGCATATCAATGATCACAATGATTAATATATAAGGCAGATACTTACAACTATTAGGAAAGGTTACCAATATTTTAATTCAAATTAGTAACGTAGAAATCCCCATCAATGTCGATATAACTGAATCTAATGATTATTACATTGTAGCTGAAAATAATTAGTTAACAAAATGTCACAGACGACTTTACTGAAACTGTTAGAAATTTATTTTTCAATGGAACCAAAAGAAATACCAAGTTCCTATGACTTACTAAAAAAAACCCTAATTTAACAAATTTTAACAACCTACATCAATTTTTACAAGTTCTATAAATAATAAGTATGAGGACGAAAAATTGACTATACAATGACATTATATAATATCAGGAGATAATGAAGAAGAATCATCTTAGCTGAAAGTAACTTCAAACAAGTGATAGTTTAAAAACAAACTTATTCACTATAGTATTTTGAGAATCTTAAACAAAAATTTGGGTATCAACCATCTGAAAATCCAAAATGAAATTACTATTGGTAAGGTCCTGAAAATAGATATTGATGCCATAAATAACTTGATCAAGCTAAGGATATATGCTTATTATGTCAAAAGGAATAGGAATATTGGCAATTGTTACAAAATATTCCCAAAGAAGCATTAGCAAAAATCAATTTGTATGCTCATTTGAATCAAAAATAATAGAAGAATTTACAACAGTTTTTACAGACTAACACTGATGCATTTGCCAATAATTTATCATAATTAAACCATACTACCATCAAAAAACATCATATTTCAATAAAGAATCCCCCTTTAATATGACAATAAGCTTATCAAGTTGCATCTTTAGAACAAGAATTTATTAAAAAAGAAATTAACCAAATATTAAAATATAACCTTATTCAACCATCTGAAAGTCATTAGGCTTTACCTATTATTTTAATATAAAAGAAAAATAGAAGTCTACATTTTTGTATTGATTGCAAAAAGAAAATTTTTAACAAATTTTATATTTTTATTGAAAGCTAAACAGTGTTACTAAAAGAGATGATATCTATTATCACAAATTGACAAATTATTAGATATGTTTAGACATTCTAAATATTTTTCTATCTAGATTTAACTAGTGAATACTGACAAGTGATGATAGAAGTTGAAGATCAAGCAAAAACAGCTTTTATTACAAGTCAAGGGTTATATGAATTTAAGGTTATGCCATTTGGACTAATAAATGCATCTGCTACTTTTCAGCGATTGATAAACAAAGTTTTAAGAAAATAATTAAACAGCTTGTAGCAGTTTATCTTGATGATATTATTATATTTTCTTTTATTTTGAGGAATATATATAACACTTAAAGCATATTTTTGAAAAACTAAAGAAGGTAGGATTAAAACTTGGTAAAGATAAATGTGAGTTTTGTAAACTAGAACTTACATTTTTGGGACATATTGTTAGCAGATAAGGAATTTTGCTAAATTTATCAAAAATTGATAAAATTAAGAACTTCCCAATTTCTAAAAATACCACAGAACTTAGAGGATTTCTTGGACTAGCCTCTTATTATTGTAAATTTATCCAAAATTTTCCATTAAAGCTACTCCTTTATATTTACTATTGTAAAAAAAAAGCCTTTTATATGGACTTCATCTCAATAAGAAGCGTTCAAACATTTAAAAAATTGTTTGATTACAGCACTAATTTTAATATACTTAGATTTTAAACAGAAGTTTTTATTATTCACTAATAGATCTTATGTAGGACTTGAAACAGTACTAGTACAACTTGATGACTAAAATAGAAAATACATTATTGTATATGCTAGCCAAAGTTTAAATAATATTAAGCAAAATTATACACCTATTGAATTAGAATATCTTACTGCAATTTGAAGAATGGAACATTTTAGGTCATATTTACTTTAACATCTCTTTGAGTTAATAACTGATTATGTAACATTATAATGATTATTTAATAAATCAGATACATCCAAAAAATTTATAAGATAGATCATTAGAATCATGGAATTTTCCTATAAAATTAGATACAGGAAAGGAAAAATACACTCAAACGTAGATGTTTTATCCTGACTCTCCTCTCTCATCATTTAATTACAATTCAGAAAATAACAATATAAAGAGTAAAAGCTTAAGTGTCAGTAGTGTGACTAATAGCTTTAACAACTAAAATGGATTTAGAAACTTATAACTTTATAATTTTTTCAATACCCATCAAACACTACCTTTGCACAATAACTCAAAATTCAAAAATAATTCTTTAAATATTTTATTAAAAATCAACAAATTTATTGTAAGAATCAAAAATAACCTTCTCAATCCCTATTAGTTATTAGAACTATTGAAGTCAAAATCTTGATCTATAATGTACACAATAAATATTAGAAGGATATTTAAGTCGTGATATAACTTATAATAAAATAACCTCTAAATACTATTGATCAAATATATATCAAGTAATCGATAATTGGATTAAAACTTGTAATACTTACTAATGATAAAGAAAACCTAGACAGATAGAATCTTTACATCCAATACCTATCAGATAACTGTTTGACTGTGTTGGAATAGATTAAGTAAGACCCTTCCCTTAAACTACCAAAGGAAATAGATACATTATAATTAGTACTGAATATCTTACCAAATGAATAGAAGTCACTACAACTCCTGATTGTACTTTCTAAATAACTGCACAATTTATTTATGATAAAATAATTTGTTAACATAATATACCAAAGGAAATCTTAACAGATAAAATTACGTTCTTTTAAAATAAGTTAATTGCCATTCTTATGCATATTGTTAGAACTAAATATAGATTATCCTCTCCATATCACCTTTAGACTAATAGATTAACTGAGTGATTTAACTGAACTCTCTGTAATATTTTAGTAAAATATGTAGAGCAACATAAAGGTGAATGAGATTCATACCTACCTTCAGTTCTGTTTGCTTATCAAATTGCACTGTAAAGAATAATTAAATTAGAGCCTTTTGAATTATTATATGAAAGAAAAGCCATGTTACTTATTGATTTACAACTGTGATACCTTTCGCTTAAGAGTAACTTTCCACAAGTAGTGAATAAATATCATTAATTAATTTCAGTCTACTTAGAACAAAGGAGACTTGATGTATAACAAAATATTTTATAACGTTAATAATAACAGCAGAAATATTACAATAAAAGTCATACTGAAATAAATTACCAAATTGATAACAAGGTATTAATGTTTAATATACCACAATTACATATATATGGTAATAAATTTAAAGATAAATTTGATAGATCATTATACATACATAATATTGTATAATCTAATACATACAAATTGCATGCTATAGATAGATAAGTTAGAAAGAATCCAGTATACACTAATCTCTTAAAATCATATTTGGAAAGATCTGAATAGATACCAAAAGTTATCATTAGTTAATAAGTTTCTTATAAATAAGCATAGTAAAGATCCCGATAAAACTATTTTGTAAAATTTAAAATAGCTATACTAAATAATTTTGAAATTGTGTTAAAACAATTAAAACATATGACAAATCTCTTGATTATGAATACTCAAAACTTAGAACCTTATAAGGTTGATATTACTTTATCACAAAAAGTACAAAAAGTGCAAATAACTTACTGAGCTCTCTTATGATAAACATGCATGAATAATTAACTTTTATTATTTGTCAATTTCTTTTATTTAGGATAATTTCTTGAAGATAAAACTCTTACTTCTGCTTAATGTACCTTATAAGCCTCTACTATTATCACGCATTATTATCAAATTGCTGTACAAGTCTTTTATTTATTTGAAAATCTTGAAGTTTAACAAATCTTTAAAACTCAGTCACTTACCTTGACGATGATTTGACATTTAAAAACTACTGAATATTAAGCTCTGATAATTGATACTTTAAATCTTTCTGCTGAAGCAGAAATCTTAAGCAGGAAGTAATGTAACTAGATTGAATTGATGAATGTGACACAGTATATTGTAGATCTAAATATCAAACATATCAGATATATTTGACATATAAGATATATTTGATATATCTGATATAGTTAATTTTATATAAATAGAAAATGATAAAATCATGTAAACTTCAGCTCGCTTCTAGTTCACTTTTAGTTTTCTTTTTAATTTTTTTTTAGTTTTGCTTTAGATACACATTTAGTAGTTCTTTTAAAAACTTTTGGTTTAACCTTCACATTTAGTACTTTAACTCTTTTAATTTTCTTATTCTTTCTTATTTTCTTATTTCTTATTTCTTTATTATTTATCATAAATAAATCTATTGTTATACCTTTGAATCAATTAAACTGTTTTGCTTTTAGTCTTGTTGAAAGTACACAACCATGTAAATCATAAAACTTGAGTTAAACTGAATTAAATCATTACGTAAACTTAAAAGAATCACTATTTGAATATCCTGTCTAATTATTGCAATTCATAAAGATTATACATTAACAGTATATTACTTAAAAATCTTTATTTTATAATTTTTTTTAAATAAAAAATTTATCTGTTAATAAAATTAAATGTATTGTATATAAACTTCAAATTTTATTTATAATTTAAAATTATTTGTAAAATATTTTAGAAAAAATTTTTAAATATATTTTAAATATTTAAATATTAGTATATAAGTTTTAAATAATAATAATTCAAAATATATATATTATATATATTATAAATATTTTATATTAAAATATAATATTTTAAATATTATAAGTTACTTAGATTAATTATTATTTATTATATAGGAAAAGAGATCAAATTAATATTTTATATATTTTAAGATAAATGATGATTTGTATTTTCTATAATAATTAATTTATATTAACTTAAATCAAATAGAACAATTAACATTAATTAGAATATAAATTCAATTATAAATTAGCCTAAAAATTAGTTTTAATTTAATTAAATAAGCATTATAAAAATAAGTTTAAAAATTTAATTAGTAATACTAATTATATTTTATATATTTTTATTAAATTCAAATTTATTAAATAAAATTTATATATTATCAGTATTATGAAAAATATAAATTACTTTATAATAAATAAATAAATTATGTGATATTAATACTAATATTATAATAATTTGAAGTAAATTAGTAATATTTTTTAATAAAAATTAGTTAATATTTAAATTTATTAATTTAATCTAATTATATTAAACAATTATAATATTGTAATTAAAATTAATTTTCATCTGAAGTTAAAATTCAAATAATCTTTAAATGTCTAAAATTAAATTTAAAGATCAATTAATTAAAATTGGAATTTTAATTTTAAATATCTTTTTTATTATTTAAATTTTAATTTTAATTATGATTTTATTGATCAATTTTTATATACCTATTTTAATTTCAATTAAATTTTAATTTTAGATATAAAATCATTTAAAATTAAGATATCTAAAATTGAGTTTCAGATAGAATTTGAATTTCAGATACAAAACTGTCTAAAATTAAGATATCTAAAATTAAACTTTAAATAAAATCTGAATTTAAGATACAAAATCCATCTGAAATTGAAATATCTGAAATTGAACTTTAGATAAAAATTAAATTTCAAACATAAAACCATTTGAAATTAAATATCTGAAATTAAATTTCAGATAAAATCTAAATTTTAAATATTTTAGATACAAGACCTTCTGAAATAAGCTTTTATCTGAAGTTCAATTTTAGATAGAATCTGAATTTCAGATATAAGACCATCTGAAATTGAGATATTTGAAATTAAACTTCAAATAAAATCTAAATTTTATACAATTATGTATTTATAAATTAAAATTAAAGTAATATGAAGAGTTTATTATCTGTACATATTCAATTTAGTTTAATTAATAAAATTTTTATAATTTTTAAATGTTTCTTTTATTTATTTTTCTTTATTACTCTATTATAATAAAAAAAAATTAACTTTATAATTAAAATTTGAAAATATTTATAAAAGGTTTAAGTAATTTTATTTTAAAATTTGTCTAATTAAATAATTATATAGGTAACTTATAAAGATAGAAGTTTACTTTCTATTTGCTTTCTGCTGTTTTAAAAGAAAGTAAATATATTTTAACATGTAAATAATTTTTTTGCTTTTTCAGGTTTAATCATTTCAGTTTAAAGTTTAAAAAAAATTTTGAATAAAATCACTTATTTAACTAAATAGTTGATGAAAATAAAATAGAAATAAAATAAAATAAAAAATAAAAATAAAAAAATAAACTTAAAAAGAAAATATTATTTACCAAAAAACTGAATAAAAATAAAATTAAAATTAAAAATTAAAAAATAAATTCAGCTAAAAACTAAATTCTAAAAATATAAAATTTTAAAGTTAACTTATAGTAGCGATTATAAATTATGTAACAAAAAAAAAATTTCATTAAAATGAAATATTTTTTGTAATTACAGAAATAATTAATTTTTTTTTTATTATTATTTTAATTAATAATATTATTATTTCTTAAAACTAAAATTTAAACATAAATTAATAAGTAAATTATTTTTTAAATTATATAATTATTTGGATAATGCTGTTGTATTATTTATTTTCATTTTTAACATATCTCAAATAACAATTAATACATTCTAAATTAATATATCATAATATTATTCTTTTTTAAAATATATTTTAAATTTGATACAATTACCATTTTATATATCCTCCTTGAGCCTTAATAATATTATGAATCCTTTCTAGCATAGTCTGAATTAGATTAGTACAAGTTTTAAAATCAAATTATTTTCAGACCTGCTGTATCTTATTCCATAAGTCCTCTTTACTTGAAATTTGTCTAAGGAGATGTCTTAGCTGATGGTTAACCTTATTTCATAAATATTCAATAGAATTCAGATCTGAAGATTAGGATGGCTAATCTAGGACCGTTATCTTATTTCTCTTAAGCTACTATTTATTGAATTTGCTGTATACTTTAGATCTCTATCATGTTGAAAAATAATATCTTTAACAGTAAAATCATATGCCCTAATAGTGTCTATTAAATCATCATAAAGAATTTGTTAATACAAGTTAACATTTATGATGCTATTGATCTTACAATAACTACTAACATCACGAGATGTAAAATATCCTCATATTATAACTGATCTACCTCCAAATTTTACTATAGGTTTAATATGGTAACCTTTTATTGATTCTCCAGAATACTTCTAGTAATACTACTTCTCATCAGAATCAAAAATCTTAAATTTTGATTTATCAGACCATATTACTTTTGACCAGTCCTCAACAGTTCAGTTTTCATACTTTTTTGCAAAATTATATTGAGATTTTTTATGTTTTTTACTAAGGTATGGCATTTTTCTTTTAACCCTTATTACTAACCCATTATTTTGAAGTATATGACAAATAGTAGATGTTGAGAAATCAAGATTTTCTTTTTCTTGTAATCAGTTTCGTACTTCAACAGCTGATGAACACCTCTGAAAAGTAATAAGGTTAACAATCCTTCTTTGTGTTAGTTCATTTACAGTAGATGGACAATCTGTTATTGCTAAGTCTTCAAGAGAGTTAATTTCAAGCCATCTTTTTCTAATATGAGAAACTGTAGAAAGTGCAATTTTTTGAGCCTTTGCTACTTCTCTAGTTGTGTGTCCATTTTGTAATGAAAGAAGAATTTGTGCCCTTTCATTAGGAGTTGTGTAATGCTTTTTGCTGCTACTTGTTTATTAAGTAGTTGTGACATATCATGGGAACAAACAATAAATAAAAAAAAATAGCTTTTTATACAATTTTTATGTAACACAATAATGATCATCTGATTAATGTCAAAAATAATCAAAAGTAATGCAACGCGTGATTTGTATTAATTGCATATTATTTTATAAACGGAATTATTAATGGATATTAAAAATTTAATACCGAAAAATGATGGTATTAATAAATAAAAATTTATTAAAGAGGGCAGAATATCTTTAGAATTGAAAGAAATATTTAAATTTAAAGGATTTTATTTTTTTGTTGCATTATTTATGATCGTCACTGTATTTACAAAATTGTAAAAAATTTGCATATTGTAATTAATTAAAATAGTTTTTTATAAGTTGTCTGAAGTTGGAATTCCAACTTCAGACCAATTTCACCACAACAATAAAATAAAATAAATTGAGTTAGGTTGTTTTATTGATTTATCACACGTTTGATTTTTTTAATCAGTATACACTATATAATATGGAGATTTAGAGTTATGAAGAATATCGTTTATAATCAAGGAAAAAAAATGCAAATGTTTATAATTTCATAAATAAGTAAATTATGGAGCTTCTCAAAAAAGATTTATTCTTAGTTTTTATGTAGGGATTGACGAAATCATACAGGTCTTTATCCTTTCTAAATTAGCATGTACATCACTTTTTAACTGGTCTAAATCAGTTTCTTTTTCTAACTTAGTTGTACATGTGAAAATCGGATGCGCGGTCAATGAAAGAAAAAAATTTTTTTAGAGAAGCTTATTATAAGGAAAATTTAAACTTTAGCATTATATCGGAATTACAAAAAAAAACCTTTAATAATAAATTTATCATAGGACTTTAATCCAATGTGAAAATTATGATCACTGAAATAGCATGTCAAAGTTATGTAATCAGGTGTTATAATTCATGAAATTCCCCAGATTTACTCCTTTTTGAAAAACACTTCTCTCAAAATTCTCGGATATAAATATGCAATAATGAACCTTTCCTTAAAGTATTATATTCCCCGAAAAAAAGTTTCGTAAATCCATAAAACATGAATCGTCTACTTGTCTTAACTTTCTTTCTCTTAACCTTTTTATTCGCTACCGCACTTTCCAAAGAGGAATCAGTGCCCGTCAAACAAATTTTTTCTAAACCGTGCGAGCTCAAGAAAGTTGGACAAGATAGATTGATTCTAAAAATTGAATGGGATGGATTAAATGAAGCAGAAGATGGTAACGTATTTTTCCTATTTTATATATTACATAAATAATTTTCCGAGTATTTTCTAAAAAAAAAAAAAAAAATATAGAACCGGTTAAAGCCAGGATCAAGTGTTTTTCTAAGGCTGTGACTGTTATAGGTCCTAACGTTCAGGTAAAGTTATTCGTCCTTTATAAACTTCTGTTTATCCTTTTAATATATTAAAATTTTTTTTTTTTAGCATATGGTATTCGGTAATCGAACGACTCAATTCGAATTAAAAGTCCACAAGAAGAATGTTAATGTGCAATGTCGATTTGGAGTAATAGATATAATTAAATTCAAGAACTTTATCGGTTTTCGAACTTGATTCATATTCTTTTTATCATTTGTCACTGGTTTGACAATGTTAAACTTTGAAAGTTCAGACATGTAATGAATGGCGCAGCCAAATCTTGTCTTAATCATGCAATCATGCAATTTTTTTTAGTAATAAATGTTCCGCATACTGGATATTATGCTGTCAACTAAACTATATATAAAATTTAATACCTTGCGTATTATTTATTAATGCTTAAGTAATTTAATGAATTCGTGATAACTTTAAGAATTATAAAATACCTCGTTTTTCTTATAAATTTTTTCCAGTTGAAAGGTTTATTTATTATTTCAAAGTATTAATGGATTTTTTAGAAAAAAAAAGGCAAGTTATTTTATGAAGAGACAGTTATTTTAAATACTTTCGCGAAATTTGAAATGGTAACGTCAAGAAGAATCCAGAGTTATTAAAAAATAAAATTACGACAATATAGCAGTGTTGGCACTTGGCCGGTGTTTGACTATGGCCGTTTGGCCGTTTGGTCGTGGCCAAATTTTATTTAGGTTTTGGCTGGCCAAAAATATTATTTTTATATAATTATTTATTAGTTTATGCAAATAAACCACAACCAAAATTTGGCAAAGCCATATGATTTTTGATCTTAGATATTTTAAGAAAAAGAAAACAGGTTTGAAACTAATACAGAATTTAATGATTTGAAAAAAAGAACTTGAGCACTTGCTTATTCTAAAATTAAAAGTTCTTTAGCTATTTGATTTATACAAGCATTTTCACAAATCAAACAATTACAGGAGAATTTTAAAAGCAAAAGCATGTATTTTTGCATAAATACTTAATATAAAAAATTTTTTTGCATCAGATGGTTAGCTTTTAAGTAAGGATTTTAAGCAATCCTAAGTAGTCCTAAAAGCTTCAAGAAAATTATAAAGAATTATTTTTACAAATTTATTATAAATCTTATCTGAAAGTAAATAATAAACCCTTCTGAAATTCCAGAATTTCTTAAATTTAAAATTTTAGGATTAGAATTGGATTTTTAAAACTGGTTCTATATTTAGTGATCTCATCAAAATTGCCAATTTTTTGCTTTTTACAAATTAATTATAAAATTTTATGACATTTTTTGATAGTGGTTACTTATTTTATATAAGTGATTAGACTTTTCTAGAGTTAATAATTTCTTAAATTGTAAGAACTAGTTAAGAATTGCTTAATATCCTTATTTTTAGAATTCAAAAAATAGCAATATATTAACAATATACAAAAGCAAGTCAAATATATATATATACTTTACTTGATAATTTAGATGATAAAAAAGTAAACTTCAAATTATTATTAATGAATATAAACTTGAAAATATATTCAATTGTAATAAAACAGATAATTAAAATATGATTATTTATATTATTTATATTTAATATATAAAATTTAATAATTTAATAATTTTATTATTTAGCTTTATTTTGATAATTAAAATTATCTAAAACTTTTAGAAAATAGTCTGATTTTAAAAAATAAAAAAAAATTAAATTGTATTACAATTATCACTAGTTGAAATCAAAAAAATTGGACATGCAAAAATTGGTCTAAAATCAGTCTAAAATCAGTCTAAATTCAGCAAATTATCAAAAATCAGCTTAGCCGATTGGCATATATCAGAAATTGGCCAAGAATCAGCCAAAATTTGACCTATCTTATTTATAGTTGGTTAGCATACTTATAGCCGATTAGTATATATTAAAATTTGATCTATCTTATTTATAACTGATTGATATCTAATTGAAATAATTGTATTGTTCCTTAAGTATAATGATTTTATTATTTTAAAAGAACAATAGTATTATTATTCTTTAAGGACAATGATTTTATCATTTCTAAGATATGATAGTATTATTGTTCCTTAGATATAATGATTTTATTATTCTTAAGATACAATAGTATTATCATTTCTTAGGTATGATGATTTTATCATTCTTAAGATATGATAGTATTATTGTTTCTTAGAAATGATAAAATTATCGTACTTAAGAAATGATAGTTTTATTATTTCTAAGAAATAATACATTTATTGTTCCTTAAGGATGATAATATTATTGTATCTAAGGAATGATAATTTTATCATTCTTAAGGTATAATGTATTTATCATTTCTTAGGTACAATAGTTTTATCATACCTAAGAAATGATTAAATTATCATTTCTTAGGTATGATGATTTTATCGTTTCTAAAGTATGATAATATTATTATTTCTTAGAAATGGTAGTTTTATCATTTCTTAAAAATGATGATTTTATTGTTCTTTAGAGATGATGGTATTATCATTCCTTAAATATAACAATTTTATCATTCCTAAGGAATGATGGTATTATTATTTCTTAAGTATGATGATTTTATCATTCCTAAGATATGATGGTATTATCATTTCTTAGAAATAATAGTTTTATTGTTTCTAAAGAATGATTGTTTTATTATTTCTTAGAAATGATGATATTATTGTTCTAATAAACTAAACTTTCAGATTAAACTAATTTGCTAAAATAATACTGATTTAATATACTATTTGAGTTTATTTCTGGTATATAAACTATTTATATAAATAAGCTTTAATTTTTAACTTTTTAAAAAATAATTTCAATTATTTTCAAATTTTCTCTTTTTACATTTCACTAAAATCCTGAAAAAAAATCATCCCAAAAACAAAAAGATCTTAAATTAAATTTTAGTTAATTTTTACCTTTAATTATTAAAATCAAATGAAGTAAAAGCTGTATTTTAGTTAACTTTTCAAAAATAAACTGAATTTTTTTTACTTTTTATAATAGAAATATACCTTTAATAATCAAAATTGAATGAAACTTAAGTTGAATTTTAGTTAATTTTTCTGATTTTTTTACTTTTTATAATAAAAATATGCCTTTAGCTATTAAATCAGAAGAAAATTAAGTTAAATTTAGTCAATTTTTCTAATTTTTTTTACTTTTTATAGAAACATACTTTTAACTATCAAAATCAGATGAAATTTAAGTTGAATTTTTATGATTTTTTTACTTTTTATAATAGAAATATACCTTTAACTATCAAATTGAATGAAAATTAAGTAGAATTTTTTAGTCAATTTTTCTGATTTTTTTTTACTTTTTATAATAGAAATATGCCTTTAACCATCAAAATTAAATGAAACTTAAGTTAAATTTTTGTGATTTTTCTGATTTTTTATTCTTTTTTTTGAAAATAGCAATATTATTGTAATGAATATTTAGGACGATTTAAGGGAATTTTAGAAGGAAAATAGATTATATTTTTATTATTTACATAGTTTTTCTATTTTTTACTTATATTTTTTAAATAAGAAATTAATCAGTAGGTTTTGGTAATATTTATGTTATGTTTTTATAAATTATATTAAGTTTTTATTATTAATAAAATTATAATACTTAATAAATTTAATAAATATAATATATCAATTTTATATGCTTACTTGACTGAATTAATATCAAATTAAGACCAATTTTAGGCTAATTTATAGTTATTTAAGTTCTGAATTAATGCTGAATAATACTGAATTGAGGTCAATTTTAGGCAAATTTATGTTATTTAAGTTCTGAATTAATGTCAAATGATGCTAAATTAAAGTTAAATTTAGGCTGATTTATAGTTAAATTTAAGTTCTAAATAGCTATGTCTGATTGAAGTCAATCATTATCTATTAGTATCTGAATTATTGCTAAATTAAGGCTAATTTTAGACTGATTTATAGTTGAATTTAAGTTCTGAATTGATGCTGAATGGCCATGTCCAATTGGAGTCGATCAGCATCGATTAGCACCTGTTTGTACTGATCAGAAAATATGGCAAATCAACCATAAATAGTATCAAAATTAGCCTAAAATCAGCTATCTGATTTTTAGCCAATTTGGACTATTTCGACTAGTATATATTAAAATATAGTGTTAATAGAATAAAACTTCTTATTTTTATTTATTATTATAAAAATCTGTATACTCTTTTAGTAAAAAAAGAAAATTTATCTGTATATTATTATTAGAATAAATAGCATAGATATAGTATAAGTATTAATATAGAATGATTTAGAAAAAAACTTAATATTTAGATATATCATAAAAATAAAAATATTTTTTTCTAATAAATAATATATTAACATATACTATTAATAATCCTGAATTAATTATTCATATTAATATATATTTTTTATTACTTAATACAATTTCACATCTTTAACTATTTGATACAAATATTATAAATTCATTTAGATATAATTAATATTTATTTTATTTATTAATTTAATAATGATAATTAAATAAATCCTTTTATTATTAATTTAATTATTAATTATATTTATTTTTTTAATAAATGTAATATAAAAATTACTAATAAAAAATACATAGAAGCATATGATATAATATAAGAATTAAATAAAATTTCTAATTCACTTAATATTCTTAATGTAATCTTATTTACTGCTAATATATAAAAGGTTTTTATTACATAAATAATTTATCTCTTAAATTATAGAACAGGCAAATTTGCTTATGAACATAAAAAAGTATTAATTTTTTAATAAATATAAAATATTAATGTTAATAAAATAATTATTATATAAAAAATATAGTTTAATATATATTTTATTAACTTAATTAGAAAAAATTTTAAGCTTATTAAGAAGTATTTTAAATAATTCAATTTTTAAAATTAAGTCTTAAAAATATTATTATAATAATTTTTTAAAAATTTTCTTAAAATTCATATGTTTACAAACTAATTGAATTATTTTACCATTAATAAAAGTCATAAAATTTCTTAGTAAATTATAAAAATTGTAATAATTAAAGTTATTATTCATGATAAATTTTATAATATTCTATTATGATTAATATTATTAAAACTAAATGTTAATAAAATGGTTAAAGGTTAATGATAAAATTTTTTAATTTATAATTTTTTTAAAAATTACAAAATCAGAAGGGAATTTTATAGTAAATAAGCAGGAAAATTTGCCTGCAAATCTTTAC